ATGTCTACGGCGCGGACGACCCAGGTTCGAATCCCATAACTATAAACTTTTTTTATTTAAAATCACGTGACTGGAACGTGACAAAGGGGCCGAGGGGTTAGGTGGGGTACCAAGAAAGCCTGAGCGGTGATGTGGAGTACCAGTTGGATGCCTGGCTGTCTGTCTGGCTCAATCGGGGCCGCTTCTACTATCTTGCTACACTTTTCACACCTTTTTTTTAATTTTATCACTTGTAGAGATTGATAGCGGCCACTACAACCATTCACGACGAATTGTCAGAGTCGACTCTTCTCCTAGGTATGTTTTCAAATATTCTTAATTTGTTAGTGAGGGATTGCATAGTGGTGAATTTATGAAAAAATGAACGATTTTGTAAAAACAGTGAAAATAAGACAAAGTCTCAAGTGTCAACAAAGGTAATACACCGAACAGTATCGAGAACCTTAGACTACTCACGATTTTATCGATGGGAATGTCAATGGGGGTGTTTGATTGCTACTGATACAAGATATATTTCATATATTCAGATACGCTATGATTCGTTATTTCACAAGCAATGTGCTTTCGACAAAAATCTTGACATTTATGAATGCAAATTTTTAAATATATATTCTCAAGGTACTACGCCACTGGTTTTGATGTAGTGACGTCAGTTTATTCATTAATTGAAATATAGGTCTTGTGACACTCCATCTGAAAAGTCTTTCAATATTGCATTCAGTGATGATATTAGATTTAGTATCTTTGTACTGGGTGACTCGAAAAAAATTTTTAAAATAGGAGAATAATCCAATATTCAACATAATACAACAGTTGATTGAAATATTCAAAGTGCCATCCATCAGTCTTCAGACAATGAAAAAATCTACGGGGATATTTCATATTGCGAATAATTTCTGGGGTAATTCTGCTAATTTCGACCTATAGCAGTCCACCTATAGCAGTCTACCTATAGCAGGGGAGCCCACGATGCAAAATGGGGATTTCTTCGAGGTCATTGAGACATATTAGGTCTACCTACACAAAGTTTCGATTTGAAATAATTTCACAGTATTATTCGTACAAAGTGAAACTACATCTACAAAGAAATGAAGATGATCTCATTCGGTGTATGAAAATCTGTGAATCTTTAAACAAATTATGTTTTTTGATGAGGCAACCAATGAAACTGTAGATATTAGGGTAGGAATAATCTTTATTGAAAAAAAGTCAATGTTTGGGCATAATTAAAGCCAAGATTTTTGGCTTTAATTTTTTGAAGGAGATCCTACAGAGGAGCGTTATACCAAACGCCAACAATCCCAACTCACCAAATGGAAACATAAGGCTGCAACATGACGATGCACCATGCACGTGATGTTCGCGAGAATCTGAATAAACGTTTCTCTAGGACAGGGGTTCCCAACCTTTTTGCACCTGCGTATCAATTGACTCTTTGAGAAATTTTGACGTACGACCAAACCTAAATATTTTGTTGAACGTATAATATTTACTTTTATAAAAGTATTCAAATATTTTTTCAATTGAATTCCTGGGAAAACTTCATATTTGATAGTTAGATATTCATTTATAACATGCTTGAAATGAAGGAGAAATAGAAATATTAAAATGGTATTAATTTGCAGTTTTATTTTTTACCCATGGGTCTGAAATCATACAAATGAAAAATAAGTACAAACTCAGCAAAAAAATAATCATCATACAAAATATACTTTTATAGTCTTTTGTGCGAAACTTGTTGTTTGCCTGTGATTAAAATATCAACATTAGGACTGATGGAACTTAACTTCACTCTTGAGTCCTCTTCAAAAGTTATTCTGCTTCTATGTTCATTTTTAATGTACAAGAGTTCAGAAGATCCACTCTCACACAAGTAACTCGTAACAAATGATATCAAGAATAGCAGAGCTTGCCTGAAGATCATAGGGTACTTGGTTTTACATCCGATCCAGAAGTTAATTGAAGATATCCCTTTAAAATAATAGAGTAGGAAATGCAGATAGTTTCTTCTCCTGTATTTGTAAACAAAACAGAACCAACTTTCTCTTGAATGAGTTTNATTGTTATTATTATTATTGTTATTATTATTATTATGAACCTATTCTTCCACTGAAAAAAAAATAAATTTTTGGTCACCCAGTACAAATATATCAAATCAGTTATCTTTTCACATATAGTCAGTGGGCATACTCGCTATAAATCAAATCATCTGCATATATGCTGTTGGCGATACAACTGCTGCAATACATTTTTAAGTATTGGAACACACTTGCAGACCGGTTTCGGGCTGTTTGGCCACTCGTCAGTGCAAGGTAGTGTATATCATCAACATAATTCATTCAGTTTAGTTCGAGGAATGATACCCTGAAGGAATTTTATTTTCAATTATCGGAAATCATCAACTTTACGTTGATGATATACCTACACTATCTTGCACTGACGAGTGACCAAACAGCGCGAAACCGGTCTGCAAGTGTGTTCCAATAATTGAAAATCTATTGCGGCGGTTGTATCGCCAACAGCATATGCAGAAATAACTTTTGTGAAGAATCGTGCACTGACACCTGTCGGATATAATTCAACTCCCTTCGTGGGATTAGCCAGGGGATTAGTTGTTTTCTGATAGGTATCAGTCCATTAACGAATTGTTCTTTTAGATGATTTCAAATCAGTTAGCAGCAGTGAAACAAAGTATATTTGAAAACACAAATGAATTGAGTTTGATTGAATGGATAAAAAAAGAAAGTGAACTCATTTGCACAGTGTTACCATATCTTTCGTTTCTCAATGAATTACCTTTCAGAATAGGCGCCAAACTCTCAAACATTTTGACATTTCCTCTACTCGTGAATTGACCAAGACACATTTCCAAATAATACATTGGCCTTCCAAAAAAAGTCAAAACTAAAAGGTNATCTGATATTATTCGGCGGCTTCTTCCCAGCCTCCATAAAGTGGTGGAAGTGACATTTCTACCACCCATTGGCACGGCTAAAGAGACTAGCATAATCACACCAATGAAGATGATCACAAGACGCAGTGCGCTCTACAGAATTAAGCTCCTGGAGCTACATGAACTGGTTTGTTTGGATGCTTAGGTACAGACTTGCAAATTAACATCGCAAATTTGCGTCTCCAACCAAAAAAACATCCCGGACTTATGGCACGGAAGATCGAATGACGGATGCACAAGATGGTGTCACATCACGTTGGCGAGACAACACGCCCGCTGTGCGACAAATAGCTGCCAAACCAGGACATATCCATCACATTTTCAGTCGAAGCGTGCTGCTGAACTTTAAATAGAACTGCCTTGAACCGATACAAATGTCACTAGCTGTTTGAAGTCATTAGTGAGGCGAGCGAGAACTATCGCGGGAAAGCTCAGGTTCCGCGTAAACCGTTATCGCTTATTTCAAGAGCATTTGCGTGTTGTGGATAATTCACCGACGGCTGATCGGGTGTAATCCTTCTGGAACGACATCTATGAACGCCCTCAGCTACTCAACTTAGAGATTCCAGACCTAATGTAATAAGAAGCTTTCAGCAGAGAGCTTCGACAGCCTGAGCTCAATAAACTGCGCAATTCGATAACTCTCGATGACGTTCGAAAAGCCCCTGAAGGTTTCAAGAACTCTGCTGATCCAAGCCCACTTGGGCTAAACAGTCATTTATGAAAAAAACTATCAAAAACTTACCACCATCTGGTCAGTGTTTTCAAATCAGGTTGGACGGAGAGCAACCGATTCCTGATTGATTTTCCGAGGGGCGGGGCGTTTTCATCCCCATAAGCAAAATTTGTCGATTTCTAAGGATTACAGATTGATAACATACTTAAATGTGTGTTATGATTTATTTACGAGCATCTTATACACAAGAATACTCACTGCAGTTAACTGAGTGTTCTAACGGAATATGAGCAAAGAGGGTCAAAGAGAGGAGTCGCTGAATGTAAAAAAACCTGTTCAGGACGCGATACACTGTAAGCGTAACCTATCTATAGCCTAGATCGATTACGGCAAGGCATTCAATACAACATCGCATGAACTTGCATTTGCTCAGATGCCTTGTAGTACCCGACATAATAGTGAGATGAGTATCTAGTGATGTGAAGCAGTAGTCGGCACAGGTTTTTGAACATAACCTCGAATTTTTTCAAATGAATGTGAGACAGATGGATATGCTATCGAACTGATTCGTTTGAACGATATTATTAGCGCAAACATTTCGGTGTTGTCGGTTGTAAAGTAAAGCATTGTTCATGGGGGCGATGTGGCTTGTGAGGCGTTGCCGGTTTTTCGAAATTAAGTATAAAAAATTAAAATGACGTAGACGGCGATGATTAGGAAGGATTAAAGTTCCAACGCGCGATTCGTTAACGAAGTTGGGCATGTAAACTCAAAATCAAACGTGGGTAGAAAAAAAATAAATGAAAATGTCGTCGACGGCGATGATTCGAAGGGCCTAACGTTTCAACGTGCGATGAAGTTGTTAATGTTAATCAAGTTGACATTATCAGGAGTTGACGATGGAAATAAACACAGATGGCGTGACGTGCCGCACATCAAATCAAAGGGAAATTATTGTGTAGATGAAAAAAAAGTATATACAGTGTGTGTTTCAATGAATTTTTTTCATTGCAAAAACACAAAGAGTCATACATTTTATCATAATAATAATATCAGTAATAACAATAGTGTTTATTATACCATCTTAGCTTCCAATATGTAACCAAATATGAATGCGCATTCACATGTATCAATAACAATCTGATCAGGTTGAATACGTGTCAACGGATATGCTGATGACGTAGCTAGTGGTCTTAAAACACTTGCTTCTTGCTGTTGATATATTTCTTCAGAAGTCCACTTTTTAAGGTTCTATGATAGATAAAGGTTATCTAGTTGCTTTGTAATTTCACTTTTATCTTTAAAAAAACTAATGACTTTTCTTAAAATACACAATTTTTCTTCAAATTCGTGTTTATACCTTTTCGAATACATTTTGGTTGATACTGATAGTTTTTTATATAGATCATCGATTGAAAAGTATGGTATTCATGTCATGATGCTGCCAATACACCTCTTTTACGTTAGGCCCTCCTAATCATCACTGTCGACGTCATTTGCAATTTTTTCTACCCACGCTCAATTTTGAGTTCACACGCCCAACTTGTTTAACGAAGATACAACTCTTAGTGCGCTTCTGACATGTTGGATTGCACGCCGTTGGAACGTTAGTCCCTCCTAATCATCGCCGTCGACGTCATTTCTTCTGATAAAAGGAATGTCATGGACTTTTGAGTTTCTAAACCTCAAAGTCATCAGAAGTTTGGATATCCTCCTCTGCATGACATGAGGAAACAGAAACTGGAAAATTTCTCTTTAAGGCAGCTTTTCGAGAGACTAATGAACTTGGTTTAGTTTTTGACACAGAATGAGATGATGACAACTCCACATAAAAGTCCACGTCACATATAAAAGCCTACTGCAACACAAAGATGAACCTTGGATTGTCTTAGAAGATTGATTTCCTTAGGTCTCATAGGCCGAAGACGATAATTGAGCGATTCGTCACGGTCTGCCTGGATTGTGTATTTTACGCCTCAGTCTACCGTAGTCGCGTAGTGAAATAAATGATACCAAGTGCAAGGCTTCCCCCTAGACGTCTAAGAATGTGATTCAGTTGTTGACGGGGTGTCTTGCTTATGCGTTATTACTCTATAGTCATCGACATAATCCGTCCCCAAAACTACTTCTTTATGAACTAAGCCACTTATACGGTATTGTCTTGTGTCTCGTGAATATAGAATTCGTTGTAGAGAATGAGAGGTGTCGAATTTTTTGAAAATGCTCAATCTCCACCTTCAGACAGCGAGATACAAGCGAATAAACCTGATTTAGTCCTTCTCGACCATCAAATTGAATTGTTCGCTAAATTATAGTTTTTATACCGTGCAAGAATTTTTTAATGTGACTGTATGATCTTCTTGATTGTATTCATTCATATAACTGACTATTCCAATACATTAATAACACAAAGAAGGCCCTGGGATGATTTGTTACTACATGTGTTAGACACATGCATGGGAAATGACAAATTATTCTCAATGAGTACTAGTTAACCTGGGATTAGTTTTCTCTTATCCCAGCTTCAACAGTGCACTTGGAAAGCACACAACGAATATCAGGGTTGGATGGTCTGTAGATATTTTTTATACAAATGTTCAATCATGAGACATGTGAGTGAATATTTGCTGGGGAGAATAGCAGGGTTTCAAGAGTAACTATACTGGAAATTGAAGGCGACCACCCAGTCTGGACCAAGCTTTTTATAGATACTGTCTTATCTCAAGTGGGAGTAGTCAAGATAGACAATAGAATTTCAGAAGAGTTAGGCCTTCAATGAATAAAAGCATCACAGATTGAGTTCGTGTGTCAGAAAAACAAGGTTTCAGTTCTCTGAACTGAAGTGAAATTCTTCATTTCCTGAGGGTTTTCGTTCATGAGTTTCGAAAAAATATTCTCATTCTGAATTTTCTCCGAAAATAGTACTTCCTGATTTGAAATTTCTTCGTAGTTTCTTAAATTTCTTCAATGTTGAATCCAGAGGACAATTATTAAATGTAGATAGATAAAAGGAAATTATGTTAGCAGAATGGGTATTTTTTTTTCCATTTTCATTTATTTATATATTGTATTGGCTCAACTTGTCCACTTGCTTTCCTCGTTAACTGTCGAAAAAACATCCGCTCCTAGGAGCATCTCAATCGAACCAAGAACGTTGAATTCAATATCATCAATGAAACCAACTCTCAGTGGACTCTTGAGAAACGTGCATAGCAGAGCAGAGTTTGGGTATTATGGTGATATCAAATTCCAGAATTGTCAGAGAACAACCCAAAAGTCTGAGCGCTCAAATTACGAAATTTGATTGAGGATATGTTACCTGGGCCATTTATGAAAAGCCGTAATCTATATCACTGTAAATCTAGCCTGTTTACACATGATTCGATAATGAAACTAGTTTCATTCCAAAGTTGAGTGAAAGTCGGATATTATGATAATTTTCTCGAACATCCGACACTTCCACTTGAATGATTGGAAAAAGCACAGTGGAATATCTGGAAGAAACACTTGTCATGGAGTTTAGGTGGGTTTCAAGAGGTTCATTTGAGAGTCTCAGACAGCTTAATTGGAATCAACCGATCATTAATTGTGCAGGGTGCAGCAAATCATTAATTGTGCAGGGAGTAGAATAAAGCGAGTGAAAAACAGCAGTGAATGGTGTCTGTCTACAAACCTTACAACAAGACTTCAACAAGTGCAATCCCTATGTGCATATTTAGTACGCAAACATCATTTATTCTGCTTCACAAGACCATACCTATTCTGTGGTATATTGGATAGTAGTATTATTCGAGTTACAAAAATGATCCTTGGGATATTGTATGTTTTGTTATTCACGAGAACAGCAGAATAATGTGACTAACTTACGTGATGTATCCGATTTGACTTTTGTCATTCTCTCCAATAAAATTAGGATCATTGGAAATCTGTGGAATTTCCTGGCGAAACCCTTCAAATGATAAAACTCTATTAGTACTGTCTTTTTATAGATCACCTGATGGTAACTATGATATTTTCATCAACAATCTTTTCATTATACTTGATGATCGCATAGTATAATAGACCATGTTTTCACAAACATACCGAACACTGTAATATGTGTTCTAGATAATACAATCTCCGATCACAGATCAATATTAATGAAACCAATCTTCCCGAAAAATCCATCCCATCATCATCCAACACATATAGGAGATTCTTCAGTTCACAAAAATAGAAGTATTTTCA